AAGATACCATCACACACCCACCAGAATGGCTAAAATTAAAAGGATGACAACACCATTATATTGGTGATGATGCAGAACCACCAAATGTGAGCAGCTCACAAATGGTGCAACCACTTTGGAACATGGCTGGCAGCACGAAACAAATGAAGCAACTCTACCTCAGTTACTACCCAGATAGCCACAAAGGAACTTTTACAGACGTTTACAAGAATGTTCTCTGAAGTTCTACTCACACAGCTATGAAGTGTAAGTAAGCCTCAGTGTCTGTCAACAGAAGAAGGGACAAACTATGGAATTCTATGTACACAGTGGCACACTACAGGACATTAATAAGTTAGCAACTACTGAATGACCCAATAACATTGATGAATCTCAAAATACTATGGACAGTAAAGGAAGTCTTGCACAAAAGACTAGAGCTAGATGATCCCATTTGTGTATGGTTTTAGGCCAAACATCCATGGTGGGGGAAGAATGGGTCTCTCTGGGAGGTGCAAATGAGGATTTCCAGGGAAGCAACTTTCTAGAATGATGGCAATGTTGTGTATCATAAGAGTGTTTCTCTCTGGGAGGTGCAAATGAGGATTTCCAGGGAAGGGTGTAAAGCAACTTTCTACAATGATGGCAATGTTGTGTATCATAAGTGTTTTTTTTTATACAGGTATTTGTGTCTGTCAAAAAAAAAATGAATCAACAGAACTCTTCAGATTTGTGTATTTCACTGTATGTGAGTTTACTTTACTTCAGGAGGAAAAAAAATCCAAAACACCAAACACCAGTTAATGTGCATGACAGGTATGTGCGCTGGGGGGGTGGGGGTGGGGGGATGGGGTGGAGACCGTACTGAACCATGCAGCTTACTCTGAAATGCACAGAATGAAGACAAATGGCTGGGCAGTGCTAGGACAGAGTCAAGCCAGTACTGCAGAATCAGGGGATGGCTATGCGGGTGGCTCACTGGGAAACTATGTTTCAACCAAAGTGCTGGGAATAAAACCATCTTTCAAGATGACTAAGGCTATAGCCTAGGTTGGCCAGCATACGTTAAGAACCCTAGCTATCAAACCTGTTATCCTACCTACTCAGGAGGCTGACATCTGAGGATTCTAGTTCAAAGTCAGTCTGGGCAGAAAAGTCCAAGAGACTCGTAATCTCCAATTAACCAGCAAAAAGCTAGAAATAGAGGTATAGCTCAAGTGGTAGAGCACCTTCCTTACAGATCAAATGGTAAGGAACAGTACTCAGGTCCTGAGTCCAAGCACCAGTATTATTACAAACAACAACAAAACCAAAAAACCCTGGCTACCATCTATGAAATTAGGGTAGCTAAGGAAGGAAATGGCCAGTATACAATGTGAAGGGTAGGAAAAGATCAGAGCTAAGTCCATAAATGCAAGAGGTTCCTGGCCCGGGGCAGCAAGGCAGGAGGTAGCCTTCAAAGGTTGTTTCCATCATCACTCAGCAAGTCTACAAAACCGTCTTCAGGGCCTGGTACCTAGCTAGCGTAACCTACCATTCCAACTTTTCCAAGACATGTAAGGATCCAAAGCAACTGATGGAAGGAGCGGAAATGAATTAAGAATTCCACAGGGAGAAAGTGTGACTCACTCACTTCTTGATGGGTAACTACCATTTTAAACTGCATCTTTTGAAGACAGCCGAGGAGCATTAAAGATTGAATGTAAAACTGCTCCTGGGCAGAGCTGATTAAAAAGGAATAAAATTCCTTTAAAAGGGTGTTCTGAGTTATCCGACAACATCTGCATTCTGGTGAATGGGTGACTCAGATCCCAGGATGGTCGTTCCGTCTCCAGAGCTAAGATTTCTCGAGGATGATGGTCACCAGCAATTGTTGCTCTCCAGAGACTTCTGAAGAGGCTCTGCGGAGGCGTTAATAATGACTGATTAACAGTGGGCCTCACTCAATGAGCCCTCACAGAGCCCATACCTGCTTTGTCCTTGAAGGGCTCTCTGCTCTCTTTCCAATTTTCCACCCACAGGGCATGTCTACTTCTTGCTACTAACTTGCCACAAAAAGCAACAAGGCTCACCTTGTTGGGACTTTTTTTTACTCCGATCTTTTAAATAAACAAACCTTTCAGCAACTGAAGAGGACGGAAAACAAAGCAGGGGCATCTGAGCCAGTGGGGAAGCATGACTTTCACCTGAACAAAGACTCCTACCCTTAAATTTGTAGACGTATCTGCCACCAAGTAATTTTTAGCTTAAAATTTCTAGCCTGAAATCAGTCTTTGAATAAAACTCTACTAAGAAAAGGTCTGGCATCTAAGTAGTGAAAACAACTAGTATCCATTTGTAGTAAGATAAACCTGAAGGGTAAAGGGGAAACGCTGGGACAAACTCCTCAATGAACCCCCTATGTAAGGTCAAGCCACAAAACGCGAAGAGAACAATTTACTGGATCGTTCCTTGTCTCACAATGATCTAACATCTGAAAATAATTTTCTGTCTCCAACGCAAATCCCAACTCCTATTTCAAATATTATGGCTCCCCTAGTAACAAATAACAATTCTACTAGAGGGAGTCTGTAGTAAAAAATCTTCCATAAAACAAGAACACACAAGCTGGCTTTTCCATATTGTCTCATAAAAGGGACTAAACCCGAGTAAGATACGGGAGTGGGCAGCAGACCCGTGTAGTATTACAGACTGTTTTATGGCACCCAAATTGTACTCTTATTACTTCCTAGGAGCCATTCGTGAGATCTGTGGCAATGAAAACTCCAGTCATATATAAATTTTTATCTGAAAGAAAGTGTGTGTTGCCCTCTTGAGGCAAATTCAAGAATAGAAACAAAACAAGGCTGCTTTTGCCTAGCTCATTACTGGAAGAGGCTTTGAAGGGCTTTGGGGGTGGGGACTCACGTCATGATCTGAAGCTACAGCGTTAAAACTCCAAACCCCATTTCACTCTGAGAGACAACTTTTTAAAAACATCACTAGGCATGAAGACAGTTCTGCACAAATACAATTCTCACTCTAAGAATGAAGCAAAATTGTTTAGAGTTTCAACTGATCAAACTGTCAGGGTAGCTGCACCCTAGAAATTCATCGACATGCCTCAGACCGCTGGCTCACGGAAACCCCAGGCATTCACGAAGACGGCCCATGTTCACGGTATTTATAGCTCAATTCCATTCAATCTGCAAACTGGTGGCTAAGTACAGAAACACAGGAGGAAAGACTCTGGAGACTCAGAGCTGAATGAATCTTCTGAGTTACTGCTGCTATACCAATGTCACAGGGCTTTCAATTAATTAAGTTCATTTCCTCCAGATGCATTTTATCTAAGCAATGGTTTGATTTTTCAGGAAGCGGAATAAGTTAGATTACATCATTACTCCTCTAAAGTTTGAAGACTTTAGCATTTTACTAACATGACTCATATAATGATCAAGGTTTTGAATGAGCGATAAAAAGAGACCCCCTCCTACCCTACCACAAAAGCCCCGGTGAAAACAGATCCCACTGCCCAAAGTCTGGGTTTGAGGCCAGAATTTACCTGTCATATTCCCTAGCCAATCTAAGGTCACTGCTCTTCCCCCCAGCTAAGTCCTTTACAAAGGCCCCTTGGGTTACCCTAGACACTAATTTTTGAAAGCAATGCAGGAAGAAGGAACTGCACAAATATGTCCCCATCTCTAGTCCATTAGTCAGACAGCAGCCAGAAGACTGTTAACGAGGTCATGGAGCTCACCAGCTTAACGTTATTCTTCTACCAACGACTGCACTGCAGTGTGTAACGTGGCCCTTCGTCCTTGCTCCCTGGGATCTAAGCTTTTCTGTCCAGGTCCTCCTGTTATCTTCATGGAGGTCTCACTGACTCTTGTTTATGTTCCAGGTCCTCCCATTCAGAGGACTGACTACTTCTGTTACTGTATGCCACATGAAAAATACCAAAGGCTGCTTCTGTCTCGTTCACCAGTCTTCCAGCATCTGCACCACTGCACAGTGCCTGCTGAGAGTGCAGGCACCAATTGCTAAGTAAGAAACAAAACATAGGTTACTGCCTTTCAGCAGTTACTGAAACTGCTGAAAGCACTATTTTAAGACTTTCACTTCTTAAATCATTGAACTTTATATGAAACTCTAGCATTCTTGTGAGAAAATCTGATATGGAAGGTATCCAAAAATTCACCATTCTCTTCTGTCAGTTAGAATTTATAATAAATGAATTAATTCTGGTATGGTTTCGGTGTTTGCCTCTTCTTAACCGCATGCTGAAATTAAATCACCAGTGTTAACAGTATTGGGGTGGTGTTGGGGGGAGTGGGGGCTTTGGCAAGTAATTAGGCCTTGAGGTCTGGGTGGGATGACGCTGTTGTCACAGGAAAGTCAAGGAGTCCTGCCTCACTTGTCCCCTTGGGTTCTGCCAAGGAGATGCATTAAGAAGGTCCTCACCAGATGCTGGCACCTTGATACTGATGTGCCAGACTCCGGTGTGGCAGGACAAGATGTTTCTACTCTTTACAAATTGCCCAGAGTCACACATGCTGTAACAGAAGCACAAAACAGACTAAGACAGGGCCTATTTGTAAACACAAATTAGTTAATAGTTATTAAGTATCCATTACTAATAAATTAAGTTTTAAATACTGGTCACTGGCCTTGCTGATTTTAGAGATAAATGTTTTGAATAAAGAGTGCCCAGTCTTTCCTTGGAAGGGCTGACAATTCAGCTAACCCAATCAAAACAAGTCCTAGTGTGGATAGCTCACGTCAACCTTCTCTGGTTGAGAATACAAACACATCAACAGACCATATGCACTTGCTTTAAAGGATTATTCCAATGAAGACAATGCCTTCCACAGTCAGGAGAGAGCATGAGAAGTAAGAATGCACATAGTATACACAGGAGTCTTCCATCAGGAGAGAGCATGAAAAGTAAGAATGCACACGGTGCACACAGGAGTTCACAGGCTGCCACCAGGGGAGAATGTGACAGTCACCTGAAGTGTGATAAAAAGAGACTTTCTTACTTGACTGCCTCGTAAATGTTGTTGGAAGTATGTCCTGATAAAGCATCGTGTAAACTCCTGATAAAATAATCTCTGTATTCTTCTGGAAGAGCCATAAACGTTCCACCCATCACAATAAACTCCACTTTGTCCACGCTGTGACCAAGCTGTTTTAACTGAAAAAGAAAGAAACACAAACTCATTAACATCAGAAAGTACTCTTTGAGAGTACTGTAATGTTTCCAATGTTATTCTGCAATGTTTTACTGGTCAAGTTTAAAAATGAGAAACAATTTAACATATTGAACTAATAAAAAAAAAACCATAAGTATGAAAGAAGAAAATCAGTGTTTCAATAAGAAGGGAGAGTGAGAAGTAGGCTGGATGTTGTGGTGCACAACTGTAATCCCAGCACATGGAAAGCCAACTTAAGAGAAGCAAGAATTCATGGCAATTACTTCTTGTCAAACAACTTCCTTATGCTTTCGAAAATGAGTTTTTAGAGAATATAAAACCCTTAAAGAGAACAGAATATAGTATAATTTCTAACAAGTAGAGGTTTTGCTCATGCCAGGTATTGCAAAATAGTCTCTTTTCTTCGCATAAATATGAAAAGACAACAAAGGCGGGACTGGAGGGTTGGCTCAGAGGTAAGAGCAAGGCCCTGAGCTTAAAACCCAGTACAGCAAATAGGTAAAACTGAAAATAAAAAATGAAAAAGCTTTCCAAAATGTACCTGTTCTATCCGGTGTCTTGTCTGTAGATAAGGGTCATATCTAGCACGAATAGCTCGCATGGAGGTTGGCTAAGAGAAAAAGAGAAAAAACCTCTTACACTCACATCAAATGAAAAAAGTAGAGAGAAATGGAGGGACAGAGGCTGAACAAAGGCAGCAGTGGTGCTCACTGGACACGATATAGATAAGGAACTATATCTGACTTGTGGGTGGGGAAGGAAGGGAAAAACTGGGAGAGCGCGCAAGGGAAGGAGCGACATTGTCCAAAAGAAACGCACTCCCCACCTGACTTATACAGCTGTCACCCCTCGGTACATCACCTTTTTAATAACAATAAACAATTTAAACAACAGAAATGTAACTGTGAATGGCTATGTTAACATTAAAATTCTCTCTGTGTTTGAAAACTGAAAACCTGCCTTGGTCACATCTTCCTTTCAGGGTTCAAAATGACATCCTGAGTGTGCCCCATTACCTAAGCAGCTGGGCGTGTCCTGGAAGCACACGGCTGTATGTGCAAATGCTTACTGCATCCTTCAGTCATCGAGGTGTTTTATCCACACAGATGTGCACACAAACTCAAGAGTTAGCGGCCAGACAACCTTTAAATAAGGTTCTTAACCACACATGGCTTGTAAGGACAAACAGCCTTGATGCTACTGCCCTCTTGGGCTGCAGTACAGACGTACAGACAGACAGACAGACAGACAGACAGACAGACACACACACACACACACACACTCTCTCTCTACACTCTCTCTCTCTCTACACTCTATAAACAATGGATTAGCATAAAAGTTTCTCTGAGAAATGTTGTTGAAGGAAAAGCACAAGGTATAGAACACTTTGCCTATACTGACTTGGAGAGTGAAACAAATATGCATGTGTTCAAGTCCCTAAGACAGGTCTGGAGGATGTAGAGCAAACAGCAGCCCTGTCTTGACTTCTGTGGAGAGGAACAAAAAAGGTGGCTGGGCATCGGAGGAACTGTTCCACCAAATAATCAGGATATATTTTGAAAGCTGAACTTTGAAAAATGACAGGGGGTGGGGATGAAACCACATATGAGGAAAAACAGTCATCTGCCGGCGTGCACCTGATGTCACCAGAAGAGAGGGCCTCCTCCCATGGCTGCTCAGGGGTCTGTTTGCACTCTTGGGTCTACTCTAGTCCTTTCTTTCTCTACATGGTCATCAGAATGGCCTTTTAAAAGGCCTTTAAAAATCGGTTGTATGATTTCCCTGCTTCAAGCCATAAAGGCTTCTCCTGACACCTGTAGTACCTTACCGTCATCCACTGTTCTCTAGGCTGCATCCCCTTGCTTCCCCCTTGCTCCCCCCTTCCCCCCCATCTTTCCCACTGTGGCCTTTCTTCTAGCTGTCCTTTCTGCTAGGAATCAGCCTTCCTGACACACTTGTCCGCAAGGACTCAGCTCCACTGCCACCTCCCCTAGGGAACCCTGGCCATCACCGTCTCTCAGTAGCCCCAGCTATCATCACCCTACTCAGGCTCGCCTCCCTGCCTAGCAACTGTTACTCGGGGATGTTTCCTTGTTTGCTACTTCATGCCTAACTTCTACTGTCAGACATCCATTTTACAAGAGCAGGGGGGGCTTCAGCACACATGGGGGGTAGGGAGGGGCAGAGCGAAAGCTGCTGCTCACTAACAGTGAGTCTCTGCAGCAGCTGTGCAGCCCCGCAGAACTCTGTTTCCTCAACTATCCAACTAGGACCATCCATGCACCAACCACACTAAGGTTTCGGGTTGTGAAGCAAGTAGGATGGTAGTGGAGATATGATAATATTAAGCACTTACATCAGTATTTCTCCAGCAGATAGAACAATATATGCTACTAGAAGACACAGAGCTTTTACAATCAAGAAGAAAGGTAAAAGCTATTATTTGTAAAACTGCACAATGGAAAACTATGATGAAAAACTTCAGGACAGCTCAAATGACTTTACCTCATATCCAGTGTAAGACTGGGTTGAATATTCAAAATCAGAGTCAGGTCCACCAGGGCAATAGCTGTCAACGCAAGGAACAAACAGAGAGATCAGACATACCTTCTCCACAAAACCCTGACAGCAAGCAAGCTCCATTTTCAAATCCCAGTGGAACAGTCTAATGTTATAGATAATGTATTCGCTACCAGCTGGTAAACAAGTATACAAAGGAAAACTATTACAGTCATTTTCAATATGCTGTACTTACTGTGATTTAGAGGTTTGTGCTTTTAGGGCAAGTAACAGGAATCAGGGTTTCCTGCTGATACTGACACAGGGCATTCCTGGTAACCATAGTCAAGCAATTCTCCCTTCTATGTAATTTTCCCACCTAGAGTTAAGCATCTCCTTCTGCTAATCCCAAGTATCTCAATTTGCTATTTATAAGAAATATTTTTTATTTTGATACTTTTCTGATCAAAATTTACTTGAAATCTTTGGCACTGTAATTTAGGAAGTTCTTATTTCCATGTTTCATTTATTCCATTAACAGGATGACTATACATATCTATATCTACGCATTTAAAAAAATACTGCAATAAATTAAAATCTTTGTTTCATTTTAAAAGAACTGTAAAATCTTATCAATGGTTACCTGTTTCTAAGAACTATAAATCTACTTAAAGTTTTAAATATTACCAACATGTACGACGAGGTATTAGGGAGTTTACTAGTTTAATTAAAATACACACAACATATCAAAATCATCATACGTACACACATATATTTCCTGTAAAACTGATATGTGGACACCTGTGTGGTTTGCACATCACAGCTACAACAGCAATCTGTAAAAAAAAATTAATTTTAAAAAGTAACCAGCGCAGCACAAATGGACTCTAAAGGTGTTGGTAATGTTATACTTCCTAAGCTGGATACAAGGATGATCTCTTTTTAATAGCAATCATCTTTAAAATGTACATGAATTATTATTTATAAATTATGTGCAAAATAAGGAATTAAATTTTAAAACCACAATGATTTTTATATTATCTCCAAGAAAAAGATTATGTAATTTCACAAAATTATATCCAAACCTAACCTCATAACGGATTCCTCATGGACACATTAAATCTCAACATTTACAGCAGGAATACAAAGCAAGGAATACATGGATCCAGAGTCCCTGCAAAAAGATCTCAAGGGTCCAGCAGAGCCAAGGCGGAAGAGCATAGTAGCTTGAGAAAGGAGCCAGTGGCAGAGATACAAGACCAGCTACCTTTGACACAGGCAGTCAGATGAGCAAAATTAAAGTGAATGCAAGTGGGTTTCTTACAGGCAGAGGGAGGTATGAATGCAGGGAGGGAGAAATTCAAAATGAAGTCTATGGCTGGATGAAACTAAAGGTGTTTTTTACAAACTTGAGTTCCCACTATATTAAGCTGGCATACCCATAAACACAGATAAAATATGTCATGTCCAAGTATGCACAAATATGTATGCAGATTCTCAGTCTTACTTCTGTGACATTCATTCCTGGCAAAAATGTACAACCTGAATCTAATTATGAGGAAACATTTGATTAATCCACATTGAGGGACATGCTAGAAAATAGCGTGAAATCTTCAAAGGTGTTAAGTAATGAAGTCAAGGAAAGACAGAAGATGAAGAGACATGACAGCTAAATGCAACAGTGATCCTGCTGCTCCTTCAAGCTGGACCTCCTGCACTGCTAGAGTAATGTTCCACATACATGTACATGGGTAAAACAGCACTGGTACATCCATACAATGGAATATTTCCAGTAATGAAAAGGAATGAAAGGATGTGGAGGAACTTTAAAAGTTCATATTGCTAAGTGAAAGAAGTCTATCTATAATGTCAATCTAAAAAACCATAGATCCTGTATGATTCCAAATATATGACATTCTGAGAAAGCCAAAAAATACAGAGACAGTAGTAGATATTTGTTAGAAAAGTTAGATTTAGACACTGGGAAGGATGGATAAGTTATTTTAAGCAGTGAAACTAGTTTGTATGGTACCATAATGAAAGATAAATGACACTATGCATTTGGTAAAACCCATAAATGAACAACAAAGAATTAACACTAATGCAAATTATAGCCTTTGGTTGGTAATAACAGGGCGATATGGTTCAGTCGCTGTAGAAAATGAATTGAACCAAAATGAGATACTAAAACCAGATAAACTGAGGGTAGGAGAAGAGGAAGCATGTCGGGATTATGCACTTTCGGCTCACTGTTCTGTAAATGTGAAGCTGCTCTATGAAGAATCCACAATGCACCATGAGAGGGAGGCAAGAATAAACCATGGTGGTGAGAAGGGCCACACACGGGGAGTAACATGTGGCTCTGTGATTTCTGCTACTACTGAAGATGGATTTGGTACAAGCCAGACAACGTAGACCACTTAGGAAATGAATGTAGACCACTTAGGAAATGAATGAAAATAATCTAAAAAAGAAATAATACAAGCCAAATGTTCCTTCCAGCAAGGGAGAGATGGCACACTTCACACACCATTGCGAGGATGGTAGTGGTAATAGACAGAAAAGGTGAAGGAGCAAGCTGGGTTGTGACACTGGAGGTTGGAAGGCAGTCCACCTGGCAGTCTGGCATGAGTCTGAACCACAGAGGCAGGTCGGAGTTGGGGGTCGGCAGATGGCTGCATTTAAATCATCTCATAATGACATCACGAGGAAAGCATGTACGATACTTATGACAGTAGCCCAGGATCACAGGAAAGTGTAGTCCTCAAAGAACAGGAATGACCAGACAGATGGAAACTCAACTTGGAGAGGGTGGCAGCAGAAAGCCAGGTGTGTGGGTCATGCTGAAAAGTTGTGCAAACTCTCTTCCACAGTGGTAATCCTGAACTTGGTGCTAAAACCTGGGAGTTTAAGACTTGGCTAACCAACTAACTCACTTGGACCTTTAAGACCTGAATACAGGGCATATTACTCAAGTATGTGGGACTAAAAGCTAATGAGTTCTCTTTGGGGAGTGTGGTGTCCAACTATTCTTAATAAACCAAACCAAAATGCTTAAGCACAAAGAATAGGGCACTAGGCTTCACGGGCCATTGTATGTAAAAACTATGGGGTTTACTTATCTAAAAATGTCATAGAATCCAGAAGACAGGAACAACACGAGCTGCCTCAAGTACAACAATGTCTTCATCCAAACCAGACTGAATGTGTTAGATCACATCAGGCACACAGAAGTCAGTTCTGGGGACTACATTTCACGAGGGTGCTAATCCTGCCGATTTACCCACATTCAACCTTTTTCTCCTATAGACTCCAATAAAGATCCTTAATGCTTTACCTGGAGAATGGACCAAGGATTTCCAAACTGTTCTTTTTGTTGTCAAATGATCCTATATACTGGATCTAGGCAAATGTTTTGGAAAACTACCATGTTCATATCACTCAGAAACCTTGTATGGTTTCCTACTACGTTTTTCTTTGCCAGAAATTTAAGACTTTTTACAAACTGATCCCAAACTAATGCCCCATTGTTTTTCATATGGACTCTCCAGAGGCTGAGGTAAGAACATGAATTCCAGGCCAAATGGACCCTGGATCCTGTGAGTCTGGTGTTCCTGCCCACATGCATCACAGACTTTGTGTCACTACTACCTCTGTGCCTCAGGCCCCTGCCCTTACTCCCATCTTTTGAGCCTACTCTTGTCCCCTGAGCATCCTTTACAGGCAAAGCAAGCACTATGTTTTCTCTTGTTCCTAAATGCTCACTGCTATGTAAAATGCCACACAACTTCTTTGAATCATTAATTACCCCTTTCTTTGGTGCCAGTCATGGGACTTGAACTCAGGGCCTGGGAGCTGTCCCTGAGCTTTTTTGCTCAGGATTGCACTTTATCACTTAAGCTATAGCACCAATTGTGGTTTTTTTTTTGTTGTTGTTGTTGTTGGGTTTTTTAGTGCTTTATTGGAGTTAAGAGTCTCATGGACTTTCCTGCCCAGGCTAACTTCAATCCTTAGATCTCGGCCTTATGAGTAGCTAGGATTACAGGCGTGAGCCACCAGCACCCAACTTCATTAATTACCTTTTGAAGCACTTTTTATAAATATCAACTATTTAAAAATCTATCGGCTCATGAAGGCCAGTAACATTGATCAGATTGTGATCATCACCAAGCCCTAGACATCACCACATTATCTACCTACTTTAAATACAACCAGTTGGTCTCCTCTCTCTGCCTCGTAGCCCTCTACACACTGATCTCCACTCCAGCACAGAACACAGTGGACAGACTTTTGGAGTCTGCCTCCCCCTAGCTCCTCACTACCTGTAGCAATATTTCAATAACTGAATACTCACTCCACTGGCAGTCCTGATGGGTTTGGCCTTTAACTTGGGAACCAAGACTTTCCGATACTGAGGGGGGACTGCGGCAATGATATCCACCAGGCGGGGCTGCGCTGACAGGCCATATTTGGCTGCTGTCTTGGTTTTCACCCTGAAAGTAAAGCATCCAGCATTAGCAAGACCGTATTTCAAGCATGAGCTTCTAAAACAGCATCTATCACTCCTGTCTCTCCTCTAGGGACAAAAGTGGATTTAAGATCTCTGAATACTGAGGAAATAGAATAAGTAGATTTGTTAGTGACTTGCTCTTTACCTCAAGTACCAGAAACAAACGCCAAAGGTCTATGGAAGGGCCCAGGACGAGGACACAAGGCAGGTTACTTCAATATGATGCTGTGGTCTCTGTCCAAAGGACGACTCTGACTCTACTTGTTTTCTGCTGCACCACTGACACTGGGATACTGTCTAGTGCTCTTCAGGATGTTTAGGATACCCTTGGCCTTTATCTGGTTAGCATTCTTTGTCCTGTTCTATTGAACAGTTAAAAATGTCTTTAGAAAAATCACCTTGGTCAAAAATCACTTTCTTAGCAAAAATACTATACATACACACTCACACAAATAAAAACAAAAGAACAGCAAACATACATTTTAAAAAGCAACTTCTTCATCTGACCCTTCCTGATTATAAGTCTATTCTTAACCCTCAGAAGTAACTTTCATTCTGGTTGCCATAGTGTCTTGCTATGTAGCCAAGGCTGGCCTGAACTAAGGATCCTGTGCCAGTTATATAAGTGCATGTTATAGGTGCGTGCAACAGATGCCTAGCTAATTCCTTTGGTTTTTCCAATTTCATCAGCTTTTCTTTGTGTCTGCTAGCCAAACTATAACTGTCATTCTGACTTAAAATTAATCTAGAAATACCTGTGAGCTGCTTGTATCATTCTCAACACATGTTAACTGGGTACTTAGCATGCACCTAAGTCCTTGGTCTGCCAGCTCCTCTCATGTCCTGCATTATGATGAAACACATCCACATACCATACCAACCAATAATGAAGGTTTCTAAAACACAGCAAAGACTAATGCGCGTGGGAAAAGAGGGTGGGGATAACATAGACAACAGGACCAGAGGAAGAGAAGGCTCAGAAGGTAGGACAGGTTCTGAAAACATCGGGAGCCAAAAGATTCTGTGCTGCAGTGCTGGTTAGTAGGAGCCACCTAAGAGCAAGGCTGTGTTCTTTCTATAGACCCACTTACTTATTCAGGTCAATGTCTTTCCCCTGTTCATGGGCTTCAATCAGTTGTTTAATAACATCTCCGATGGTCAGCATCATCAGCTCAGCAGGGCTGAGGTCGCCTACAAAGGTTAGTCGCAACAGTCAAAGTCACAGTATTCAGTAAGGCTTTGCATTTTTTACTTCAGTTAAATCCTCCCCAACACAGTCTCTGTTATTCACAACCCGACCGTATCTTCCGTGTCTTTCACTTGGCTTTATGGGTGTGTAAAAGCAGAAGCTCAAGCCAGGCGCCGGCGGCTCGCGCCGGTCCTCCTAGCTACTCAAGGAGGCTGAGATCTGAGGATCGCGGTTCAAAGCCAGCCCGGGCAGGGAGATCCGTGCGACCTTCCTCTCCCGTGAAACCTTCAAACGCTGGAAGCTTCTGGGTGAATATTGAAAACTGGGCTCCGTGAGGGTGAGACACGCGCGGCCGAGCTGCTCCGGGCCAGCCCGGGGGGTACGAACCGGGGCGGGTCCGCTCAGCCCGCCGCAGGCGCCCGGCGCCCGGCCTGGCGGACTCCCCGGCCTGGGGGACTCCCCGGCCTGGCGGACTCCCCGGCCTGGCGGACTCCCCGGCCTGGCGGACTCCCCGGGGCGCACACCGCGGTCGGACTCCCCGGGGCGCACGCCGCGGGCGGAGCCGCTCGGACTAGGAACGGGGGGCCGGGGAGGCCCGACCGGGGCCCGACCCCGGGGCTCCCGCGCGAGGCGCTGGGCTCGGTCTCTGAGCACCGGAGCCCCCACGGCCTGCTGCCCCAGTCCCCCCCGCCTCCCCCCCGCCCCGTCGCCCGTCCGCACCTTTGCGTTTCTGCCTCATCGCCGCTCCGCCGCTGCGCAGGCGACCACGAAATCGGACGCAGACCGCGGAGAAAGTTGACGGCCGTAAAGCAACCCCGGATTGTCGTAAAAGCACGCCCACCGTACCGTAAAGCTCATCCCGGAAGTCGGCGCTCGAAGCCCCGCCCCTCCCCTCCCACCCGGACTCGGCACGGCCGCCGTCCCGTCCGGCTGCGAAGGAAGCGGGGTGTGTGCAATGGCGAGGCACCGAAAGCTCGACCCGGACAGTGTAAGTGGTGGGGCTACATCTTCCCGGAGAGACCGCTGGAGAAAGGCTGAGGGAGAGCGTGGGGGCGGGACAGGCGGAATGCGTCACTTCCGGTGGTGGTGACAGACTCATCCTGGGGACGGAGATCTGAGACCTGGCCCGAGCTGAGCCGGGGCCGGGGCCGGGGTCGGGGTCAGAGGTCGGGGCCGGGGTCAGAGGTCGGGGTCGGGGTCAGTCGGGCTCCGTAGTCTCAGCCCCGCAGCTGATCCCCAGGGTAGCCGTGGTGGAGAATAACGGTTTCCCTCCCAAACAAACATTCACACAGAGTTCGCCGCGTTGGGAACCCGGACATGGCTACTTGTTCTGGAACCTTCCCTGATCTCCCTTGTTTACGACCTTATTTGTTTACTTGCGGATTGAGACCTCTTCGCATTCTTTTTGCAGCCAAGTGTCACTTTATTGCCGTTACGCTTCCGTTCTGGAAGCCTCGAGTGTGCGCTCTTCCCGCCAGCCTTGAGGGCGCTGCCTCACGGACTTGGCACTGCCCGGTCAGGACGTGTGAGCTCTCTGTCCTGATGGCCGTGCGATTGCCAATGGACACACTTTATCTTCCCTGGAAAACATGTTAAGATAGGGCCAGCCCTGCTTGTTCCGTTGTTTTTCATTCTCTTCAGGGGACACTCAGTCTTGTCTCTGAATGCGATCCCAAGAGTCTATAGCTTTAAATATCATCTCTGTTCCTAGGTTTATAGTTCAACCCCGGCTTCTCCCCTATTTGACATCTCGTTAGATTTAGGTGTCAAATAGGCACCCCAAACTTAACATGTCTACAACAGAAATCTGTTTTTTCCTCCAAATCTAGCCTTTCCACACTTTCCTATATTGAATGATCCCATTATGCATCTCATCACTTAGAAACCGGAGGGTGCTACAATTGCAATTTGCAATTGAAATTGTGACATTTAAACTAATATTTGATATGCCAATAATTAAAGAGAGGGCATTCAAGCAGAGCCATAGTGACAAGGTCTTAGGTTAAGAAGGTTCCTGGTTTATTTAAGAAGGGAGGCCAGCATCAATGAGACAAAGCCTGTTAAAGGTCAGAAAAGTAATGGGGTAGTAGTGGAACTCATGTAAAAATGTTGTGCATTTAACCTTGGGCTTTTATCTAAGTAAGATCATGAGCCGTTGGCCTTTTAGCAGAGGAATTGTATGACGTACAGCTATGTCTGTTTGCTGGGCTGTGGAGCGGTGGAAAGAAGCAGGGTGCCCACTGTGATGCTATTACCATAGCCTTGCTAGTAATTCCATTGATACACATTAGAAGTATTTGGAGAGCAGTGACAAAAAAAAAAGTCCTAGGGCCTAGTCTATGTCCATCCTTACTAAATCAGAGGGCAAGGGCTAGAAGCCAGCCATTAGCATGTTTTTCAAATCCTTAGCTGTTTCCACTATACAGCCCAGTTTTGGGAATCACCAAATAGGCCAAGAGATTATTGTGTCTCAAATCAGGGTTGTAAACAGTGTTTAAAATCTGAATTGATTCCCCCACGGTATAACCCCTGTTATCACTGTATTTGATGTTGGTAAAATTTAGGGAGGGGAAGGGAAAAAACAAATTGTTTAAATAGGGATACAAGTTGACCCATTGCAACAATGAGATGTACAAGATGCTATATCAAAAAAAGCAAACTTTATAATTTAGGTGGGGGGGGTGTGGGTGAAGGGGGGCCAAGTGTAGTTGTGGAGATGGGAGGGAAGGGATGGTAGGGGGAAAACAAAGGAGGAGGCAACAATGCTTGATAAGAAACATACTCATTACCTTGCTCATGTAACTGTAACCCCTCCTCTGTACAGTATTTTCACAATAAAAAAAAACTTATTTTAAAAACCTGAATTGATTACGATAATTTCTACAAGACTTCCATCAGATGTGGGATATGGGAGAAAGACATCAGCGATCCTGAGCGAGACCAAAAGTTTTGGGGACTGGAGGAATGTGGTTATCATTCATTGAAACAAGGAAGATAATGTGTGAAGTGGGGGTGGAGGTGAGCAGGGATCTGTTTGAGATGCCTGGTAAGCAGTAAGACAATTCTTGATAACCAGTCAAGAGTTAATTGGTATATGGATGAAGTTAAACACCCTAGGTGAGAGTCCAAAGGCTAGGCCTTGGGGTATTCAATCATTAACCTTTGAAGATGAGAGGAGACAGGAAGGAACTGGAGACGCTGTATCAAAGGCTGTGGGAAGCAAACCGGAAGAGTCTGGATACCTGGAGGCCGAGTGAGGAAAGTATGTGATTGGAGCCAGGTACTGATAATAACTAGAGAAAAATGATGGTGGAATAGCCCAGGATCATTGGGTGTTCCTAACCACAACCTGAGGCAGTGCAGCAGAACACACAAAGAGAGACAGAGAGATCTGGGGGAGACAGGGTCCCAAGGCTCACTGGCACGTAGGCCCCGAGTTCCCACAAGCAAATGGGAGGTTACCATGAATACATGCAAAAAGGAGAGCATCTATCTTAAAATTACAATTAGAGCCCAAAACTGTGAGAGACATTGGTTCCCTTATTCGTTGAGACAAGGGACTGCAGCCCACAAGAGACTGCAGCCCACGAACATCCACCTTATCTAGCCTTCAAGGTCACCAGCCCCAAGGAAGGGGGATGGCCTTAAGGTCTGGTCTCTTCACCTTCTCCAGGGCTGTCTGTTTTAACCCTTCCATGACCAGCTCTCAGTGCTGACGAGACAGTGCTCCAACCTCTCAAATATTTTCCAGGTTTCACAGCTCAGCTTCAGAGTTCCCTACAATTGAGGACTGAGACAAGAACAATTTTGGGGAGTGGTAAGGGAGACAGCCTGACTGGAAGTGGGTTTATGATTGATTAAGAGAAGATTGAGACTGCATTCCAACAACTCTCACTGAGATCACAGTGTGTGTCCATGAACACAAGAGTTTGTGTGCAGATAATCTAGTGGAAGGTGAAAGGTTGAGAGGCGCATTCTCCTCTTAAGTCATGGGACACGGTGTAGAGGAGAGGAGATTAGCGTTGATGTGTGCATGGATGACACAGCCAAGAACAGCTAGTAGGAGAACCCATGACAATAAGGAGAGATGGCAGAGCTGCAGAACTTTGAACTGTGTCAGTGTTTTTAGCAAATTCAGTGGAAATTTATTCTGGAAGAGTGACCAAACTATCAGGCCAAATAGATCTGTTAGGTGTTCAGGAACACATTTCAAGGACTGCTATGAAGAACCCAAGCAGCCTTGAAACTCCCAAAACCGGAGGAGGAATCAATGTGGTGTAGGGACAGGGATTAACCAGATCCCACCCATCAAACACAGGAACGGGGTCTCCAGCACAGGGCTCCATTTCAAGAGAACAAACACACCAAACAAACTAGAAACAATCAGATCTTGGCACCAACAAGAAGATCCAAGGGTCTACAAGAGGGAAAGAATACCAAAAACTAATTTTAGTAACCAAGTGGTTTACTAGAGTTGCTTTCAATTAACAATATAATTAACTGTTGCAGCAAAGAAATGTCCAGCAGAGGGCGCGAGAAGTACATGGGATAAGAATATAAGGGGTAATTTTTGTGGAGAGAGATAAGATCCAGCACTATGATCATCACGATCATTTTCGGTGTCTTGAACTTTATATTGGCTTTTTTTTTAATGGAGTTTGAATTCAGGGACTCCCTCATGCTTGGTAGGTAGACTTTCTACTCCCAGACAAAGCCTCCAGGCTATTTTTTTTTTTTTGCACTGGCTATTTTTGAGATAAGGTCTCCCACCTGGAATGCATATGGACTGCAATCTGCCCATTTTAGGTTTCCTGTTGTACCCAGGCTCCCATACACGATGGTGCTAGCTCTGTTAAGAAGGGGTCTTTTCATTTGCACATCCATATTGATTGCTACACTATTCACAATAGCCAACTTGTGGAAACAGCCCAGATGCCCTACAATAGATGAGTGGATCAAAAAAATGTGGAACCTATACACAATGGAATTTTACACACACATTAGAAAGAATACAATTATGTCATTTGCAGGAAAATGGATGGGCCTTGAACAAATCATCTTAAGTAAAGTAAGCAAAGCTTAGAGAGACAAACAATGCATGTTTTCTCTCATGCAGAAGCTAGATCTAAAATACCAGGACACAATAAATTATACAGGTCTCTGGGCATTCACACACAGTGAGACCAAAAGTGAATACTCGTAGGAGAAGAACAGAAAGGCCCAGTGCCTATGTGTGTCTAATCATACAAAATAGCATGTATCAAAATGAACTCCAAGAAATGAAAACAAGAGTTGTTTTTCTTTTGGCTGTTTTTGTCCCTTTTTGTTCTGTTTGTTCCTTTATATGTCTTTGGGAGTTGAAGGGGAGGGACAAAGGGCAAACAAAGGCAGCAACAGTACTTACTGGACACTATGTTGAAAATGAACTATACAACTTGTGGGTGTAGAGGGGAGGGAAACACTGGGAGAGAGCAAAAGAAGGGGTGACATTGCCCAAAAAGAAAAGTACTCTTTACCTGACTTACATAGCTGCAAACCTCTATACATCACCTTTATAATAACAATAACACATTTAAAAGCAGGGGTCTTTTGAACTTTTCTATCCAGGATGACTTTGAACTGTAATCCTCTCAGTTCAGCCCCCCAAGTAGCTAGGATTATAGGAATGAGCCACCAGTGCCAGGCTAAATTTCTTTAAAAATAGATTTGCCTTGTCATGGATTTCCAGGTGGTAGGTTAGTTTACATCACCATCTCCTGTCTTCCATTTCTCTCAGCCATGTCCCACTTCAGGAAGTTTGAGGAAACAGCA